CCCCCACACACACACACAGACACAGCTCAGGGTCCAGTTACATCTTTATTCATGTCCTCCACACGCCGTCTAACGTCACGTCTTTAAACAGAACTGACCTTCAGAACAGTTTTACTTCCACACTCAGAAACCTTCATCAGTGAGTAAAAGCTCCTGCAGAGCCGAGCCACGAACCTTACAGAAGGTCTGAAGACATTTTACACATCTGAGGACAAAAAACAACTTAATGACTGAAAAACCCACAGAACAGAGTCCAGTCTGGTCTCAGGACGATGCTGACTCGGCGGTCACGCTCAGCAGCTTCAGAACATGAAGAGTTTAAATCTGTCAGCACTTCTTCAGATCATTAACATCTTCAGGTTTCAGTTTTAGTTTAACTTCTCAGTATTTTACAGAAACAGCTCAGTCTGTGCCCAACAAATAAAAGGATTTAACAGTAGTTATGAAACGATAGGTCAAACTGACTTCAGTTCAATCAAAATACAAACCTTTTGGTTGAAATGGTTTCAGATCAAACGTCTCCAACATTAAAGTCTTGGTTTGACCATGAGATGGATCCAAACTGTTCAGAACCTCCAGAACCCAGAGGAACCACAGACACCACGTTCAAATCCAGAACCAACACTCAACACAGCTCCATGTCTCTGATCCACATCAGCAGAAACCAGTTTTTCATCAAACACAAAGAACTGGTTCTAGACCAAAAACTGGCCCCGAGTCAGACCTGACCCACATCGGTCTGAAACTGATCTGAGAGCTCAGATGAGCTGGTGTCCTTCAGAGGGTTCATGAAGTCCTGCTGCAGTAAAACTACACAATCAGAGAAACTGAGACTGAAATCAGCCGAAGATCTGAAATCAGCTGAAGATCTGAAATCAGCCAAAGTTCTGAAATCATCCGAAGATCTGAAATCAGCTAAAGATCTTAGATTAGTCAAAGATCTAAAATCAGCTGGAAATCAGAAACCACCCAAAGATCTGAAATCAGCTAAAGACCTGAAATCAGCTAAAGATATGAAATCAGCTAAAGATCTTAGATCAGCTAAAGATCTGAAATCAGCCAAAGATCTTAGATCAGCCAAAGATCTGATATCAGCTAAGATCTGAAATCATCCAAAAATCTGAAATCAGCTAAAGATTTTAGATCAGCCAAAGATCTGAAATCAGCTGGAGATCAGAAACCACCCGAAGATCTGAAATCAGACAAAGATCTGAAATCAGCCAAATTTCTGAAATCATCCGAAGATCTGAAATCAACTAAAGATCTTAGATTAGTCAAAGATCTAAAATCAGCTGGAAATCAGAAACCACCCAAAGATCTGAAATCAGCTAAAGAGCTTAGATCAGCCTAAGATCTAAAATCAGTCAGAGATCTGAAATCAGCTAAAGATCTTAGATCAGCTAAAGAGCTGAAAACAGCTAAAAATCTGAAATCAGCCAAAGATCTGAAATCAGCTGGAAATCTTAGATCATCCGAAGATCTGAAATCAGCCCAAGATCATATCAACTGAAATTTAGAAATGAGCTGCAGATCTGGGTTACCATCAAACCATCAGAAGAGTTCCAGCAGCTCTGCAGACACTTAGTTCTCCACCATGCTTCACTCTAAGCAGGATGTTGGGTCCAACAGCAGAAGTAATATGTGGTGCCAACACCGGGTCATGCTGGACTGGGCCAACACCATGCAGTGCCAGGCTTATGGTGCGTTCACACCGAACGTGATTTCAGCGTCAGGAGCAGCAGGTTTACATGCAAAGTCTATGGTGGACGCGCTTCAAGCAATGTCGGGAAGTTCTGCGGCGCCTCAAGTGCGATTAGAGCAGCGCGATTTGAACGATTTGAACGATCTGAGCGTTCGACGCGCTGAGGCGCAAATCGCTGAAG